AATGATGATGATGATGATGATGATTATGATGATGATGATGATGATGATAATGATGATGATGATGATGATGATGATGATGATGATGATGATGATGATGATGATGATGATGATGATGATAATAATAATTCATTAGCTCGTTATATGGTTTCTTCTTTTTTCTTCACCTTGTAATATTTACTTAATATTCACTTCTCATGCGAATATTTTTCATTCGACATCGACTTTTGAAACATTGTTTCTAAGCCTCTCTTGATTATACACACGAGTTTGCGCTTTTTTTAGATATTTCTTTTCGTCGATCCTTCCAGCAATCTATAGTAAATATATCATACATCATATTAAAAAATTCTTATGTTACAAATGTAAATATCAAATATCTCTACTATACAATGAAGCTCGTTCGTGGCGCTGTTCCTTAATAATTCATTATTGTGCTCATTCTAAAATTCATATCCTTTTTCCTTTTCGTCTCGCAGTTTCATTCTACCACTTTTTTTTTTGTTTAATCACAATCTGTATATATATTCTAACTAATACATGGCAGCGATAACAAAGATTCACGAAATATGTAAAGCGCCTAATTTTTTAATGTTTTGAAAGTCTTCGAAAATATGAATTAATGATTTAAAATACAAATTTTTCACTGATAAATATAAAAATAAGAAAACAAAACAAAAATTGAAAAATCTGGAAGGTTCGAAGGTCCTAAAAATATGTTTGTGTTAATGATTTAAAAATTTAAGATACTTTAAGATTATTATGAATTTCAAAATTCGAAAGATGTATCTCTTATGATAATTTCGTGATAAAAAAATTTTCAATTTTCAGTGTTCCATATTTACTATCGACATTATTTATCGATGCATTTTCATGTTAAAAAAAAACTTTGTCAGCTATTCTAACCAACTGGATACAACGCGTCTTTTTATGAACGAGTCAAATCTTCTTTTCTTCTTAACATAATTGTCATTAAATATCTTTAATCTCGAAACATATTGAAATAATAATACTCTCGATGTGGCGCAGTAAATACACAAAAATATTACCAAGTTCTTAAAACGCGCATTTTAAATAAAGGAACGGAATAAATTATACATGTATATCGCACAAATAACGATTTCTCTTCGCGAAATCGTCATTATATCCACTTTTTTTTCACGATCGCTAAAGTCAACGAACAAACTGCTTGATCAAATGAAAAAGCAGTTCTTACAATTGTAATTTATATACAGGAAAATCATTAATTGTAAGCATCTACGAAAGAAATAAATCATCATAAAAAATCGATCTATTCGTTCATACAAAAAATATTTATAAAACAACATATGATGATGGCCTCTTAGAGAGACTATACAAATTAACTAATGAGTTTACTCATAGTATAATAAATCTAAAAAAACGCGGTTCACGTACTTAAATTTGTTACGATCACTGCTCTTATATATAAACAGTATTATTATCATTTTGTCTTGTTAATAACAGCTGCATACTTCTGCCATTATCATCATTATATAATCAACTCGTTTCCTGGAAATTTTCATCACATGACATTTGCTAATGAGTCTTACTTCTTCAACTCTTTTTTCAATTATTTGAGTTCCATCATCGTCAGATTATATTAAAGGCACATTTAATTCGTTTAACAAATATGTACCTACAAATAACGATCAATACAAGTAAACGTGTCAACGAATAATTTCGTTGAATATCCTCGTACTCGTTAAAAAGTTGATAATAACACATGATTCTGTATATATTTCGGATCGGATGCTTTTAAGACACATGAACTCCAGATTTCTCAAAATATTATCCAGATAACGCAGAGTTTCGAAAATTATTTTTACACATTTAGATCCTCTTATAAATCATTTATCTGAGCAACTGATCGAATTTATATGTTTAAATTAATCGATTAGGAAAGGTGTCGAAATAACGAATTCCAATCGAGTGTTATCGATGCTAGCTAAGGTCACTTGCCCATACTGGCATTTGCTGGTAGAGTTGCGGATCGTTGTTGCACTGATAAATATGGCTTCAAGGTGGATCTCGTAGATTCTCTGAAATATATATATATATATATATACATATATATATATCATTATTAATGAAATTCAACATTTGAAGATTTATTAATATTGTATTTTTCAAGAAACATCACGAATATAAGACTAATCAAAAAAAAAAAAAAAAAAAAAAAACAACGAATAAAAGCTTCAAAAGCAAAATAGCAGTTTTTATATATAAGAGATAGTAGAAATGTCAAAGCCCCATTTTGATAAGAAAAAGCATTTGTAATTTTATCGTAATTTTGTTGATTTATACTTATATTTACAAAGTTTACTTTTAAAATTTTTGGATCTTATTTTATAATATTTAAATAAAAAATTTTTTACTACATAATTTGATATTAAAAGTAAACTTTATATATATAAATTCAAGCCTAATATCTGCCGTGCATGATATGAAATATATTTTATCATTCTATATATCGTAATTATTACCATGCAAGTTTTGAAAAAATCTATTTATATTCACTTATTATGACATAAAAATGATTTCGATTTATGAAAGAAACAGATATTCGATTACTAAAAATTTCGAACGATTGATCGATTATGATTCTTTGTTAGATTGTTATAAAATTATTTATGTATAGTAAAATATTGTTAGATTATTATAAAAAGAAAATATAAATAAAATTATAATGAATATTATAAAATATATTTCTATGTTAATTTTAATGCATATTTTTGATCTTATTTGTTGCTAACGATGAACAAATTAAGACAATATCATATATTTAATTATTGGAAAATATATTTGCTATTTTAAGATTATAAAAAAGTCATAAAGTAAACAAATAATCATTTTCATTTCAATAAAGTGAAAAAATATAATATTTAAGCACATGCAAATAATAATCTAAATTGATTAACAATGTTCCATTCTAATTATAAACAAAATCAAACAAAAGTCAAGCAATTCAACGTTCATTAATAAGAATCAAAAAATATTAACTCGATCTATCGAACGATATTTATGATTTTATTACTTTATATTTATATATATTTATAATTTTGATATATTTATATGAATAAAGCAAATATGTTAATATTTAAATTTTTCAGAATATGAAAATGAATACACAACACGTTTAAGCTTAAATATTTTTGAAATATACTTCTAAATTTATATATATATATATATATATATATATATATAAGG